TAGAGTGGAATAGTAACAAGGGAGATTAGAGATATGAGCAGATTCAAGAACTTGATTACGGCTGGATACGGTGGGGACAGGGAGGCCTGTCGTGCTGCAGTCCATGGGGTCGCAAAGAGTCGGACATGACTGAGAAACTGAACTGAACTGAACTGGATGTGGTGGGTAAGGAGGGAGGGAACTGTCTGATGACTAATGGGTAGCAGTGCCCTTCCCCCAGGAGAGGGCGCCAAGTCTGTGAGGTAAATCATGGACTCCGTTTTGGATGTATTGAGCATAAGGGATTACAGCACAAAACAGGATATGTAGCCAATAACCATTTGCTCCGGGACTTCCCGGATGGCTCAGTGGGAAAGAACCCACCTACCAGTGCAGGAGATGCAGGAGACGGGGGTTCGATCCTAGGGTCAGGAAGATCCCTTAGAGGAGGAAATGGCAATCCACTCTAGTATTCTTGCCTGTAAAACTCCATGGACAGAGGAACCTGGCAGGCTATAGGTCACAGTGTGGGGAAGAGTCAGACATGATTGAGCAACTATTTGCTCTATGGATTGAATTGAGACACTCTCCAATCCTTGTCAGGAACTCCTCTCGGGCATTATTTCTTACCTCAGGGATAAATGAGATCAGCATAAATTGGCTATCTTTGAAACATAATAATAATCAAAGACCTCTGTCCATTGAACTTTCCTCCATTCCCAATCTCTTTACTAGTATGAATTTTCTCAGTACTTGATCTCTTTCTCTGACCAACCTCTAATTAACACAAATCAACTGATAAAAATGAAGTAAGGACCTACTAGAGTTAACGCTCAAGTTGTTGACAACTCCAAAAGAGACCTTCATAATCCTAACTTTTAACTGCCTGATAAACACTAAAAGCCACAAAGATGCTGAAATCTGTCTAGTGATGTCTGCCACCAGTTGCGGAGAAGGGAGCTTTTCTGTCAATGGCGGGTCTCCTTACACTCACAGATGGAGACGTGTGACCAGCTGTGGAGCCACTGGTCCTGGATGGTTCCTTTTCACATGACAGTTGTCAGATCACTTGGAGACTCCACTCACAAAAACCCTCTCAGTATTGGTCATACAAGTAGCTCAACTGTATATATTATCAGAATAACCTCTTAACAACATCAGGATATCATCAGAACAACAAGGCTATAACTGACCTGGGCTCTTCTTTCTTTTTACTCCTTTGTCTGTGTTGCCTCACTCCACTTCCACAAGCACAACTTGCTTGGTTAGTTTATTTTGTCCCTGCCACAAGTGGTGTTCAGGCAGAAGCCATTCCTGAAATATAATTTCTATCTCCAGACTATCTGAAAGTATAAACTCCCTTGCTGATTCTAAATGAAGATGTCTGAAAATAAAACCATACACTTGACTTCATAAAAATGAAATATGGATTTACTATTTATAGAGCAAATGCTCAAGCTGTTGACAATAAACTATCAAATGGACTAATAAACTGATTGTGTGTGTGTGTGTGTGTGTATGGTAAGAAGTAAGAAAGTCTGGTGGAAAGGAAAGTGCCCAGTGAATCAGGAGATCCACAGAGTCCTCGACTCAGTTCTGCCAGCACTTAACTGCAGATATGTTCCTAGGCTGCTCTGTGCCTCTGTTTATTTTTGTGTTAAAGTAGAGGACAATGAATCCCATGCATTCTTCTCCATAAGAGAAAACAATTATATAGAGCATCCATTCAATATATTTTTTAAAATAGAAGGATTTGGATTTTTGTAAAACTGTGGTTAACTCACCTAAGCACATTCCTTGAAATGTTATCAACAAATGGGTCTTAATGAAAGAGAAATTTAACTGACAACAAGGGCAAGATGGAAAAAGTGTCCTTCACTGCCTCCAGCAGCAGCAACAGCACAAAACTGTCCCAGGGCTAAGTGTCTGACATCCAGATATTCATGTGCTTGAAGCAAGGAGGTAATATGGACATCTGGGTGGGTCGATGTTTTGATCTTCGGTCTGGTGCCAACATTGCCAATAGTCTCTTCACCCAAAGGGAGTTAGTACAAAATCAGTCTGCCATTGAAACTTCCACTAGAAACTCACCACTCTTTACTTCTAAGACATAAAATAGTTTAACACAGATGGCTGTGTCTCTTTTGTTCATTTTATGACTGATACTGTCTAGAGTTACTGGAAACCTCAGTTTTTAAAGGAAGAGGGAATGAGTATTGTTACTTTTACATCCTTTGTTAATGTCAAGAAACTCAAGCCACATATTTTTTAATAATGAGAATCTGGATCAAGTTCAATGTATAGTTCAAAAATATATTCCAATTAAACTATTTAATAGAGTCTTGGCTTTTCCTCTAGCACCATCTCACCACCATATGTATCCAATAATTCTATGTTCATTTTCCCCCATTAGTATAAAAAGAGACTCAATGAATAAGGGTGACATCTTGCTCTTCAAGTTCAGTTTCTCTTAAACCATTGTTTCCCATGTGTCAATAATAAGTCTTCAGATGGATAAATTTTCAACAGAAGCATCATGAACCCCGCTAAGCTGCACACCTTAGCAATGCAGGTTCCCTTTTAGCTTCCCCATGCCTACTACACCTGCCCAGCAGTTCCACATGCTGGTGATATGCAGGTAGCCATCCCCAACCATTACTCCACATCTGTATCCATGCCCATATCAGGTGATTGTGCTCCAAGATTTAATCAGAGGGTGACCCTGCCTACCTGAGCCATAGTGCCACCAAGTGATCTCATTCATTATTCATTAAGTACTTCCTGGGTGCCAGGCCCTGGGGTAGTAGGTCTTGGGGACACAGCAATGAACACAATGTCACCACCCATGCCTGCTCTCAGGAACTGGCACCCCTACCACCCTTCTCATACCAGCCTTCATAATACAAACTCCTGCTTAGCTAGGGCTTGGAAAGTCAATGAGCAAAACAAAGGCAGATAAGCAAGGAGACAGCTCAGAAATAAATAGGATCAAGTAAGTGTCTCTGCATGACAGCTTTATTTATAAAGCATGTTTATGTAAATGGCCTCACAAACACACACACAAAAAAAATCATCACTCTTTGGGATAATTATCCCTCTTTGAGATGAGGAAATGGATTCAGAAGTAACTTGCCCAAGGCTATATAGAGAATTTAGTGACCATCAATCAAGATGAAAGCACCAAAGCATCAGCAACATCCTGAATATATATTGATAGCCTCAGAAGGAGCAAGATGCTTCCAACAAATGGCTTCCATTTCTCCTCCATTTATTGAAAAAGGAAATAAAGGGGTTACCTTGGCAGTCCAGTGGTTAAGACTCTGAACTTCCAATGTTGGGGGTGTGGGTTTGATCCCACATGCCATATAGCATGGCCAAAATAAAATAGGCCTACTTGTTCTCTCATAGTAAAAAAGCAATATAAAATAAAAGAACAAAAATTTTTTTAAAGAGATGGATATTCTGGACCACTTGCCTCCCCAGACCCCTGTGAAGATGAATGGTCTAAATCATGTTATGAATAAATCATCAGAACAGCAATATTTCCTGTCTCTGGTGTGCTTTCTTCTCTGGTATTGATATGAGGGACATAGGGGGTGAAGACAATGACAACGATGATGATGACCATGACAGAAAGCACACACTGAGGGCTTCCTATGTTTTTAAGTGCATTATCTCATTTGATCCTTACATGAATTCTATTATAGTCTCCCATTATGCAGATAAGAAAAATAAATGTCAGAAAGGATAAGGGACTTGATCAGTGTCACCAAGCTAGCAAAGAACAGTGATAAGAGCCTAACCCAAGTTGTCTGACTCCAGAACCTGTGCTTTTAATCACTCTCTCATCTTAACGCCTGAGGGAGTTCAGTAATTCACATCATAAAACTTAATTCAGTGTGCAGACTGCTAGAACCTCCCTGAGAAGGGGTGAAATATAATATGTTATCAAGTCCTAGAAGGGACTCCTATATCACTGAGCCATAACTTAAAAACTAGGACTCTATTAATAGCAACTATTTGATAGAATGAGTTCAAATTAATTTTGATCACTGTCACTTTGAGACAAGAGGAGGCTGGAAAGGAAGACTCATTAAGCGTCTGACATTTGGGAAACTTTCACTTGGGTGCCCTGGTGAATGGGTGCTGCCCCCAGGAGAGCCAGTGGTCAGACTGAAAAGACGAGGTGAAATCAGCCCACGAGCCTGTTCACGTGGCCACAGGCTTCCCAACCTGAGAAGAGAAGGGAGATTAGAAATCGGATGAAAAGCACAAAGCAGTGGAAGAAAAATGTCTACTCTGCCCATCCACTTGAGATGGGTGTGGCTCCACACCAGCAAAAGAGGAGAAAGTACAAGTTGGAAGATTCAGAGGGGCTTGCAGCAGCCCCCTCCTCACTGTCAGACTTGAGTGATTCATTCCCACTGTCTGGGGCTAAGTTGTTTCTTATCTACAAACTAGAATAAGAAAACAGATAAGGCTGCCATGAGTAATAAATGAAATTATTATTACCTCCAAATCTCCACCCCTGGGCTCCCTGGTGGTTCAGTTGGTAAAGAATTTGCCTGCAATGCAGGAGACCCAGGTTTGATCCCCTGGAGAAGGAAATGGCAACCCACTCCAGTATTCTTGCCTGGAAAACCCCATGGCTACAGTCCATGGCATCACAAAGAGTCAGACACGACTGAGTGACGAACACTTTCACTTTCCAAATCCTAAGGGATACATGAATGCTTAGTGATAGAAACAATCATCTCACCACCCTTGTGATCATGAACATAACCTTGCTTCGGGAGAAGGAAGAGGGATCTGGAGCTGCCAGGTAAAACACTGCCTCTGAAACCAGCTTATTTGCACAAGTGGTGATGCTCTGGTTATTTACGGAGCTATCTAGTACTCTTCGTTCCAGGAGAGTCCATGTAACTCGTGGCTTGGCTTGGGGCCAGCTGCGCTATATTCAGTTCAGCTCCCACTCCCTCCCCCGCACAGTCTCTAAGCAGAGGCCTTGACCAGGGCTTTACCTTGCTGCTTTTGCATGGTGGTGAAATCTTCAAAGGTGAGTGTGCGCACAGGGGGTCTCCAGAATGCATAAGTCTCCATGATGGCTTCCAGTCCGGTTCTACAGAGAGAAAAGCCAGCAAGTTGTTAAATAATCCCCAGAAATTCATTGACTTAAAAAAAAAAATCCTGAGGTGGTTTGGCGATAATCAGTATACGCATAAGACCTGAGAGGTATCATCACTGGGGTAAACTGGTCTGGAAGAGCACAGGTACAGATGTTGCTAGACTACAGAAGAAAGAAGAAATTAACCCAATTCATATTATCTGCAAACAAGTCATAGCTACGATAGAATTTCACTCTGACCTTTCTTCAGAGAAGGTTTAGTCTGCATGGAAAATACATGTTAAATGTTAAAGGTCAAGGTCCCTGGATATCATGAACAGATCTGAGCAGAGAGCAGCAGTGACCATTTCTCTACAAGACAGTATCATCATCATTACCACAGGGCACTGACACAGTCTGCCCCAGATGTGGAGTCAATGAAACCGTCACATTGCTGTGCCTTTAAAGGCTTCTTAAACCCACCGAGATAAGCAGGGTAACAGAAAGAGAAGGAGAGATAAGTGATCGAATACACTTGAATTTCTGCTGCAACAGGAAATGCCCTACTTGAAGGCACAACAAGTGTTTGGTCCCTACAAAAGGACCAATACATTTCTGCAAATATTTATCTGCATTCTGTAATATAATAACCTAAGTGGTCTTTGAGAGTCATATACTTGGGACTTCAGGAACATCCAATATTTTTATATTACTTTTAGGCTTCTGCTTCATTGATCCTGGAAATTCCATTAAGTGAACTATGTGCACACTGCCTAGTTTATCCTTCAATAAATTCTATTATATATATGTATGTATCTTTAGGGCTTCCCTGGTGGCTTTGTGGTAAAGAATCCACCTGCCAATGCAGGAGACAGGGGTTCAATCCCTGGGTCAGGAAGATCCCCTGGAGAAAGAAATGGTAACCCACTCCAGTATTTGTGCTTGGGAAATCCCATAGACAGAAAGAGTTTGGCGGGCTACAGTTGGGGGGGTCCAAAAAAGTCAGACACAACCTAGCAACTAAACAACAACAATATATGAGATTGATGGACATTGTTTTAACATAATTATCCAGGCTATCTGGATTATCTTAAACATATTGCTGCTGATATTCCATATCCTCAAAGGAGAATATTGGTTGGAGCTTTGTTTACAGCTTTGAAACACAGCTTCTGATTATTCACTCTTTAAAACTAATTGTTTCACTTCCAGCTACATGGAGGCAGGGGAAATTTGGGCAGAGAAGGTAGGAGAAGAAAGTTAAAGAAGAGTAGGGAGCATAAATCCTCTCATTGCAAAGTCACTGGAAAGGAACACAGTGTCCCTTCCTGGAAAAGATACGCTTTCCTCTTGAGATGAAATTTACGCTGCCTGGCCTCCCTAGGTAATACATATCCAGCCTTCTCTTCAGTCCAGCACAGCAAGAATAATGTGAGAAGCTTTATATTAAGTGGAAACAAATATCCTTCCCTAATAAATGATTACAAGATCCCCTGAGGTTCTTCTCTGATGAGCTGCTGATACACTGATTGACTCTTTGTGTTGGAAAATTTCCTCTCTGAACTGGCCATACTTGCACAGTTAACTTTCTAAAGTCTTCCCTGGAATCTTGGAGGCTTTAAATACACCAATGTTGGCAAATCAAACTCTGTATTTTTAGAAGAGGTTGAGAGGAGAGGGTGTTGCATGGTGTTTATTAGCTGTTAATCTGTTAAAAGTAGGAATAGAAGACATCTCCACATAGTCACCGTACATTAATGCTGAATACAGTACATGAAACTATTTGTGGAGAGAAACAGTCCAGGCAATTAGGGAGTTCAGAATAATAAGAGGATAGGCAGATAAAGCCATGCTGAGCCTTGATGAACATAAAAAATAGACAGGCCAGGCTTAGCTCTTACTGCCTTGTATCGGAATGTTGGGGGCTCACCAGAACATCTTAGGATTCTCTTTAATGGCATGAGAAGCTCACTGAAAATGGCCAAAGTCTCTATTGTTCCACCTCCTATTCCATTCTTCCAGCAACATGTACCAATGATGGGGACAAAATATTAGTTCAAGGACAAAGAACAGTTCCTTCTCACTTCATAATAAAATGATAGAACACTGTGAAGAAGTCATAATACACTGGTATACTGTCAATGATATATTTATTAAAGGAATAAAAAATGAACATTAATTTTATTTACATAACAGGCAAAAAGGGCAAAGGTATTAATAATTTTATTTAAGTAGTTAACTCTAAAAAGGATAGCAGACATTCATCCATTATCCAAATCTAAAATCTCCCTATGTTACCATCTTAGATGGAGAGTTATCTAGCCTCGGTTTGAGTATTTCCCAAGGAAAATATATAGTTTTGTGACAGATCTATTAGAAAGGTCTTTCTGACCTTGAGCTGAAATCTCTGATGTAACCTTTTCTTGTTAAAAAAAATAAACATTTTTAGTTTTTAAAAAATAAACATTTTATTTTGGAATACTTTTATAGAAGTATCAAAGATAATACAGAAAATTCCAGAGTAACTGATGTAACTTATACCCTCTGGTTCCATTGTTGTTGTTATTGTTGTTGTTTAGTCATTAAGTCTGTCCGACTCTTCTGCAACCCCATGAACTGCAACCCCATGAACCAAGCTCTTCTGTCCATGGGATTCTCTGGGCAAGAATACCAGAGTGGGTTGCCATTCCTTTCTCCAAGGGATCTTCCTGACCCAGGGATGGAACTGGCATATCCTGCATTAGCAGGCAGATTCTTTACCACTGAGCCACCTCGGAAGCCCCTGTTGTATGCTATCGTGTTGTATGCTAAGTCATTTCAGTTGTGTCCAATTCTTTGTGACCCTGTGGACCATAGCCTGCCAGGCTCCTCTGTCCATGGGACTCTTCAGGTAAGAATACTGCCAATGGGTAAACAGTAAGAGTGCCAGACGCTTTCCATACACTCATCAGGAAAAGCTTCCCTAGCTCTTGGCATAATGTATGGCATGCCACATATGGACGTGCCCATGGTCCATCCAGTCCAGGTGTCTGTCCCAAGGAGGGTTTTTTTGGTGGTGAATTTGGGGTTGGGCATGACTACCAAAAACTAACAGCTGAGTCCATACATTCCAACCACACTTTACTAATGTGCTGTGGATCTATCTCTTATAGATTCATCCTAGACCTTACTGAATCTATTTATATATTCAGATTGGGTCTCTTTTTAAAGAAATAAATCCTCTCTGTTTACTATGGGCTTCCCTGGTGGCTCAGATGGTAAAGAATCCACCTGAAATGTGGGAGACCTAGGTTCAATCCCTGGGTCGGGAAGATTCCCTGGCGGAAGGCATGGCAACCCACTCCAATATTTTTGCCTGGAGAATCTCCATGGACAGAGGAGCCTGGTGGGCTACAGTCCATGGTGTCACAAAGAAGTGGCTATGACTAAGCACAAACATAGTTATTGTTTACTATATGCCACATCATATCCGTCTTCAGACTTCACTAAGTTTTATTGTATAGATCAAATTGTTCAAAAGCACTATTTTGTTTATTTATCAGGATTTGGTAAAGTGCTGCAGCAAGGTAAGTAGTAGCTACTTCACTTTCCACCATATATTTTTAAATTTATTTTTGGCTGCCCTGAGTCTTCATTGCAGCACATTTGCTTTCTCTAGTTGTGGAGAGCAGGGGCTACTCTTCCATTGTGGTGTGTGAGGCTTCTCATTGTAGTGGCTTCTCTTGTCATGGAGCATGGGCTCTAGGGCTTGCGAGCCTCAGTAGTTGTGGCACGTGGACTTAGTTGCCCCTCAGCATGTGGGATCTGCCCCAATCAGGGATCGAACCCATGTCCTCTGCATTAGCAGGTGGATTCTCAACCACTGGATCACCAGGGAAGTCCCACAATCATGCTTTTCTATGTCCCATACTTAGCACAATGCCTTTTACATGGCAAGATTTCAATTTATATATATTAAATTAATAAATAAAGGAATCATTTTTATTATTTATTTATTTAATATTTATTACTATTTTTATTACTGAGTCACTATTTCCCAAACTTTAACCAGCATTCATTTTTCTAAGCCTAAAACAGGAAAACAACTTGATATCCAGTCAAGACTCTGAAGACAGAAAGAATTCTCTAGTACCAGAGATGGGAATTGCATCTACATATGGCTGTTTGTGTCTTTCTTGACTCAGGTCCCAGAGAGGTTTCAGTTTTTCTTTGATTTCTTCTGTTCTGGTCATAGAATTTCTAACCTTCAACAGAGTCTGAGTCCCCTAGCACAGGACAGTCATTTCTACCCTCATCTTCTCTTATAAGAATCCTTGCCAACTACCCATTAACATCTTCAGCCACTTGGATGTCTATTCAAAGTTTATGCTAAGCAGTGACATGTTGTTTACTTATTCATCATCATTATATCCCAGTTTTCAAAACTTCATCTCAAGGGTTTTAAAAGTGAATTCATTCTCTAATGGATAAAAAAAGTAGTCTTAGGTAACCTACATGTCATAAACATGTTCCACATGGTGGGCCTCAAAGGGTCTGCTAAACACCAGAGACCTGATGTCATCTCCGAAGCTTCCAATCAAAGATGATCAAATTGGCAAGTGTCCCCATCTTGCTTACTTTCCCCTCTTTGCTCCAGTGACGACAGAGACCATATCTAAACCCCCTTTGTTCAATTGTTTGGCTGTAATCACCTCTCTGATTTCCAGGCCTGTCCTCTTTAGACATTTCCATCTGCTCACTGGCCAAGCCAATAGCATGCACTGAAGAGGAGGGAGAAAGGGAAAGTGAAGAAGCAAGTCAAAGAGCTCTTCTGTAAATTGATGATGCCTTGAGAGTCAACTGATTTGGAAAAACAGTCAAAGTGAAAAGAAATAGTCTTCCAATCTTCTCATTCCAAAAAAAAAAAAAAAAGTGAGACCATACCTTTGAGGTTTATCAAATATTTGATGATTACAATAACTACAACTACATTCATAACCTGTTAGATAACACACCTATGCATAGTTTCTGTTTTT